GCTCGGTGGCATATCTACAGGTTGTGAGGTTTGCAGAAGGTCTCCGCTATCATCCATCCTGCCCGTGTGAAGAGATGAATGTGGTTAGGGGGAGAAAGCTGCTGTGGCTGGTGCCAGTTGGACAGGGCTACTCTTTGCACTTGTCCTTGTGCAGTGTTTTGATTCTTTGGGATATGTTGCTGTATAGTGGGGGGGGGGGGGCTCTTGGGGTTTGGGAGAGGAAGGGAGAAAGAACATCAGCCCAAATCCTCTTGATGTTTTGGGTGAAAAACACTAAGAAGAAGATGTTGGGGTTTGGGTTTTAAAAGCTTGCAGAGTCTTGGGTGCCAGTCCAGGGCCTTGAAAAGTGGCAAGAGGGTGACCTGGCAAATTTAATGCAGGGTTTTGAGGTGGGCTGTGTATATGTGTATATTTCAGAGGGTACGTTACCCCTAGCTGCTAAATTTGGGATAATGGGACATGCCCTGAGCCTGCTTTGGGGATACCTGCGAGAGGGCTTTCGGTGAAGAGATGGTGCCGTAGCCCAAATGAATCATCTGGTTCACATTGAATCAAGGTTGCCAGTAAAGAAAAAGCAATCACTTAGTTTGTATAACTGTGCCCATGGCTTTTGGCTGTTCTAGGAATACCAGCAAGGGGCTTTTAGGGCCATAGTCATGTTTTCCCACATCCTTTCTGAGTTCAGATGCTTTTGCTGCAAGAACAGACCTCTTGAACAGGACTGCAAGCAGAAGGAAGGCAGTCATGATTTCTATTTACACTTGGGCAGATGTAGCTTTTGTCACCCCGGAGAGTATCAGGATATGTTACCTTCAGTAAATAAATAAATCACTGCTAATGCCCCTTTTGGGGAGGCCATTTCTGGGGTATTGGTACCCTCTAGAGTAGCTCGGGGATGTGAGGAGGGAAGAGCTGCAGGCACTTGGCAGCACATCCTCCCCCTGTGAGCTCCAGCTCCTCACTGCTGCTAACATGCTCCTAGAAAATTATAAATGGGAGTCCTCAGTTTGTCTTTTGCTCTGTTAATTAATAGGATTCGAGCATTAAAAGTGCTCCCTCGGAGTCAGCGATAGGCCCTTTGCCACTCATCCAGGCCCCTTGCCACTCATTCCGTCATCCTGGCAGGTCAGTGTAAACACCCTATGTTTTACTGCCATTCCCACATTATTCCCCTGCCTTGTAATGATCTTCCCAGGGGATGGCAGGGGATTAATTCCAGGTGCCCGTTCCTCTGCAGATGGTGCCATGCCCCAGCACTGAGCAATGCAGAGCATCCCCTGCCACATGAGAACACCACCGATCCGAGGTCTCTTTACCCGCTGAGGAGAGCATGAAGCTGGGTCCACGCTGCTCTTCCTCCACTCCTTTTGTAAGTGAAAGGGAGGAAGGACTGGCTCTGTCAGGATCCACTCTGGCACGCTCAGCACCACGGCAAGGGGATGAGGCTGTTTATTCCCAGGGGTTTTCTCCCTCCTTTGGTGGTTTGTAGGAGGACCATGAGCCTGCATGCTCCAAAGCAGGCAGCTTCGGGTTTGCCCGTACCAAAGTGAGGGAGAATTGTTTTGCTTGTAGCTAAAATACCCTTTCTGCAAGATGCACCTATATGACTTAATCTCCCCCCGGGGCTGGGCAATCAGTGCACCTGCAAGACAGGGAAAACACTGCGTTCTCCTTCGGGGCCGAGATGCTGGGAGCTAAAGCAGAGATTTAAAACCCACGTGGCTCCAAAAACCCACAGTAAATAGCCTCCATCCATCCTTCCTCCATCAGGCCTGCTGGGAAGGCAGCCTTCCGCTTCTCCCCTTCCCAGGCTGAACCCTGGGGAAAGTTGGGCGAGTAAGTTTTCGGAGCTGGAGGGAGGGCGGCACAGATCGATTGGCGAGTTTAATAGGATCAGGTCAGTGTAATCCTGTTTTAGCCATTGTAATTCAGGCAGCCAAGGAGACCTCAAACTATAGGGGAAGGGGCTTTTAAAACCTCAGCGGTCCTGCCACAAAGCCAGAGGCTGGGGCTGGGACAAAAGCGGGAGAGAGGATGAAGTGGCTTGAAATAAATAGATTAAGGCTCTCTATGGGCCAGGCATAGCAGGAGGGAGAAAAGAGCAAGCAAGGGGCGGGCAAGCATCCCGCGGTGGCGGGAGGAGGGGGACGGGAAGGGACCTCGCACCCATGGGGGATGCAGGGTGGCTTGGCAGAGCATCAGCATCCCCTCCTGCCCTGGGGCAGCCAGTTGCTGCACAGGGTGGGTTTCTGCCTGGGTTGGGGGCTGGAGTTTCTCCACCACCAGCACCACCGTGTGTGTTTCCGAAGGGTTGGGATAGGCAATCAATTTTTATGATGTAATTTATAATTCATACAGGTTGTCTTCGTACATATGGTGTTGCTTTTCTGTGTCAGGGTGCCGGGTGCTTTATGACAGTGACGGTGGGAATTTGCATTGGCGGCCGCTTACCGGCCTCATCGCTCTCCTCTTCGCCGATGAAGATTGATATGGCCCTGTGGAAGCATGTGCAGGGATGGGGAAGTGATCCTGCAGGACAGAGAGCCCCAAGGGGTGCATGTCTATTGCAGGGGGGTAATGTGCACCCGTTGGGAAATGGGGAAGATGCCCAGCCCTTGGGTAGGGGCTATTCCCAGCAGGGGGACAGATTCCCTCAGTCCTGTCTCCAGATACTAGGGGTGGCCCCACTCAAGGGGGTGCTTGGAAGGGAGAGCCCCTCTTTCACAGAAGGTAACCCCGACGGAGGGGTTATTTGTGCCCTCCACCCAGGCACAAAGGAGTCCTTGTCGGTGCATGCCTCGGGGCAACAGGGGCAGATAAAAGGCACTAAAGTGAGCCTGCCCAGTCCCAGCTGAAATCATTAAACCAATTAAATCAATACAAATAAAAACAAGGCAGAAGCTGCTCCGTCCCTTCTTAGGAAGTAGGAGTCGTCCCTCATCCCCTGCTCTGGCATGCACTGACTTCATCTGGTCTCTGTGGCAGCCCCGGCATGCGGTGAGTTTGCTGGGTCGCTGCAGTGAGGGGGTAAGGCATTGGGGGGATGTATTTAAAACCATGATGTCTTATTTAAGAGGGAGGCAGCAAGCTCCTTGCTTGGCCTGAGAGGGGTTGTCCCCTCCGGGCACATCCCAGCGCTGCTGAGCAGAAGTGCCTTAAAGGTTATATATGTGTATATATAAAATATCTCTATAAATGTCTATGTTATATGTGTATATATAAAGGGGTTTTCCTAAGGCAGGCTGGAGGCGAGGAGCGGGCAGCTTCCCTTCCTCTCCCACTTTGGGCTGCCGCAAAGCGGGCCGGCATTTCTGCTGCGCTCCCTGAGCAGTGCAATTATTTGATCTGCAGATGTAAGAGGAATTTATTGTAACAACAAATATAGTGATGTCAAAACCCAACCTTGGATTAAAGCCGGCAGCCAAAGGGGAAGTGTATTAATTTCAAACAGCATCAGAGGCCAGTGCCTATTAGGACGAGCTATTCTTCAGACCCCCCCATCAGGATTAATCATTGGGAGTTAATTTGAAGCTCAGACAAGTTGCTGTTAATTTAGTGCAGGGAGGACGGGATGGAATAAAAAGCTGAGGTGCTGGCCGGGCCTCCTGGGTCTCATTAATCAGCGAGCTGAGACGGCCTGGCTTGATTACAATTTGCAAAAAAATTCATTAGAGCCCGGGCGATTGACAATTTTTCTCTCTGCCTCTGATCTGACTCATTAGGCAGCCAAATGAAAGCCATGATGATGGTGATGATGACAGCTATCAACCCCCTCGCTTGTTTATCTCCTTCTCCTCCGGCCCCCCGGCCCGGGGGCTCCCCCCTTCCAGCCCCAAAGCCCCGTTCCTGTGCACGGGGGGGGTGGGGATTGCAATGGGGGACCCCAGCTCGCGGAGCAAATAACTTTCCCGTGCCTAGGGCAGATGTAGAGGGAGGGATGCCTCGCGGTGGGGTTGGATGGGGGGACACGGGGGTGAGGAGCAGCTGCTCCTCCCTAAAATACGACACCCCACATAGCCCAGTGGGGGGGTACAGCCGGGCTGCCGCCTGCCCGAGCCGGTTCCGGGGTAGTTGCGCTTCCCACGAGCATCCCGTTTACACCAAAAGCAAAGCCAAATACGTTAAAATACTTAATAATCACGAAAGGAAAGCGAGATCCGAAGAGGAGCAGCACTGGGAAAACCCGTCAGGAAAGGACTGCGGCGGGGGGGTCGGGTGGCATCAAGCGTGTCCCGGCTCCCCGCTCGCTCCCGAGCAGAAACGAATCCGAAAATTATCTTTATTATTATCATTATTATTAATAACATCTTTTTAAACGAACCAAAGGAGCAGGGTTTGGTTTCGGGGGAGCGGCTAGTGGGAGAGGGGACCCCCCCCCCCATCAGCTCCAACCCCCCGGAGCCGCCTCCAGCCCCTCCGAACCCGGCCCCGCAAAATAATAGTGATAATAATAACGATAATAATACTAATAAATAGATGATGAAGCGCAAGGGCTGTAACTGATGTGACCACCGCCGAACCTCGGTGTACCCGCCGCAGCGTGCCCCGCGAGCCTCACCCTTACCTCGGGAGCGAATCGCTCCCTTGGTTGCCCCCATCCCTCTAGTTTAATTTCAGGGCTCTTCCCCGCACCCCGTTTTCCTCGGAAATTAATGCTTTTGCATCCCAAATAGCCGCCGCCGCCGCCAAGGAACGGTTTCACCGGCACTGGATGTGTAAAACGGGCGAGAAAACGGGATTAAAAGGATGCAAAGGGGGGAAACGGGGGGACACAAGCGGGACTCCCCCATCACCGCTCCCGGGCCGCAGCGTCCCGACCCCGTTAAAGGGGGGGGCGGGTGACCGTGGGGCAACACCAGCGGCTGCACCCTCAAAACATGGAGATAGGGGATGCCGGGGGGGGGGGAATATGGGGAGTGCTCCTGCCTCCTCCCCATTTATTTGCACAAAAAGCTTTTTTCCCCCTGTTTTCATACACGCCCCCAGAAGAAAAGGAAACTTTTTTCCCCATTTCTCCCCTCCCCGACAATAAATGTGGCTTCTCTATAATAAGGCGAGAGGAGCATCGGTCCGCTCTGGCAGCGCAGGAGGGGGAAAGAAAATCAGCTCCACGGCAGCTCCTGGACAGAACAACCGGGGGATGGAGGGCTTCTTTTTTGTCTCTTTTGTTTCTTTGTCGGTTTTTATTCACAAGACTTAGTTTGCTTTTAAATTTCATAACTTATAAGGAAATAAGCTACATTGAAATAAATTAAACACAATAGAGAAGATCGTGCTATTTTTCTCCCACTCCCCCCGCCCTCCCCTCTTTCTCTCTCTTGTTAAACATGGCTTAGTAGAATAGGCAAACCAAATCGACAGAAAGCCAGGCAAAAAATAGATTTAAAAACCCGTCCCCCAGTGCCTGCCACTGAGCCCTCGGCCATCAAATCAAACAATAAAAAAAGGCATGAAATGAAACTCTTGGTTCTCTTTCGGTTTTGTTCTCTCGTCTTTGTTTGTTTTGGGTTATCTTTACCTTTCTCCCCCGGTAAGAAACAGAACCCCCAAAGAGTGGCTAAAGGCAGGTTTCGCTGGGGATATCGCTGCCGATGAGGAGGGGGGGAGCACGCTGCTGGATCCGGCGCCGACACCGCGTCTGTGGTCCCCATCGCGGCCAAGACAGCAACGGGGCAGCGTGCTAATAAATATGTGTGTGTCTCTTCCCAGGGTTTGATATTCCTGCTCCGGACCAATGCAGCTCCCAAGCCTCTGCCTTCTCAGACTCTGCTTGACTCTGTAAGTTTGGCTTTAAAGTTCGGTCGTGGTGGGGATTTGCGGCGCGGTCGCGTGGGATTTCGTCTCGTTGGTTGTCGGTTGCTTTAGGGGTTGTGTTTGTGGTTATTTTTCTGCTGCTGCTTTTTGTCTTATTTTTCTTTCTTTTTTTCTTTCTTTTTTTTTCGGGTGGGTTGTTTTGAAACCCCGATTTTTGGAAAGTTTTCCCTCAAAAACTTGTGACTCTGAAGCAGCGCAGGGAGAGATCAGGGTCGGGCTTGCTCCAGCTGCTGATGCTGACTCCTGATCGCAAACCTACTGACGTGCACCGGGATGGGGACCACGATCTTAGGGTTTCGGGAGGGCTCCCCTGTCTTGGAGTTGGCGTTGCCCGCCTTGACCCTTTTCCATTTAGCCCGTCTGTTCTGGAACCAGATTTTCACCTGCACCTCGCTGAGTTTGAGGGCGTGAGCGATCTGGGACCTCTCCGTCAGGGACAAGTACTTTTTGCAGTGAAACTCCTTCTCCAGCTCCAGCAGCTGCTCGCTGGTGAAGGCTGTCCGCCTCCGCCGGTTTTTGCCCGTGGATGTGGTGTTGGTGGAATTGGGGGGGTTTTGGGGGTTTTCCTCCAGCGCGTTGCCAGAGTCCTCTTCCTTGTGAGCCGCCTGGCCGGGGATGTTGTCGTCCGAGCTATAGTCTAGATCGCTGTCCATGGAGAAACTTTCCTCCTTGCCTTTCGCATCCTCTTCTGCTTTGGGGTCCTCCTTCCCCTGGCCCCGGAGAGCCCCGGCTGAAAGCGAAGCAGAGGCCTTTCGTTAGTATTCAGTACCCTCTGTCCCATGGCCACCGTGCCCCCCGGGCCACAGGTCCAGCAATCGCCCTAAAATTTTTCACTTTGCGTTTCTTTTTTTGCGGCTTTCGGATGGATTTATTTGATTTCTGTTATTTCAAGCGGCGGGGACTTGAAACCTCCCTCCTCCCCCTCCTCGGCCTTGCGGCCAGCGGACCCCCGCCACCAGTCCTGCTTCCCCTCAAGGGTGTCCCCCGTCTCTGGAGCTGCCCCATGCCACGACCCCCTCCCAGCCAGCCCCGCCGGGGGATGCTGCGCGGAGAGGACGGCGAGACCCCGATCCCCCCCCCTCTTGCCCCGCCGGTGCCGGCGCTCACTCACCGAGGGAGGCCTGGACGGCGTCGGCGGCGGGGAATGGCAGGAGGGCTCCGTCCTTCCCCAGGAAGGCTTTGCCATCGTCGCCGCCGCCGTCCGGGGGGATCCCCTCGGCTTTATCGAAGTTCCCCTGGGGTGCGAACTTCCTGGCCGCCTCTTGGTGCTGGGGGGAGGCGGGGAAGGTGCCGGGCAGCGTGGCCATGAGGGTGGAGGTGAGGGCCATGCCCTGGGCCAGGCTGGAGCAGAAACCCGTGGGCAGGCTGGGGAGCTGGTGGTGGTGGGGATGCGCGGGGGGCAGCGCCGGCTGGAGTGCGCCCTGCGGTAGCGCCGGGGGCGGCGGGGGGGGCGGCGGCAGCACCACGGGCCGGTAGGGCATGAACATGGGGTAGCCGGTGTAGACGAAGTGGCCGGGGGCGGGCGGCGGGGGGCTGCCGATGAGCGAGTCGATGCTGAAGGCCGTGCTGCTTCCCAGCGGGCGCTGCATCATCATCAGCGAGGGCTGGAAAGCCGCGCTCATGCCGGAGCGGCGGCGGGAGCGACCTCCTTCCTCCTCCTCCTCCTCCTCCTGCCGCCGCCGCCGCTGCTGCTGCTCCTCCTCGGGGCCGCGCTCACGCGTGGGGCAGCGCCCGGGCAGCGCCGGGGCGGAGCGGGGCCGCCGCCCGCCGCCGCCGCCCGCACATCGGGGCTGGCCCCCGCCCGCCGCCGCGTGCGCCCCCGCGGAGCCCGCCCGCCGCCGCCGCCACCGCGCCGCTCTGCCCGCCCGCGCTCCCCTGCGCCCATTCACATTTTGCCCGGCTGGGAACCCTGCCCGCCCCACGTGGCCGCCGCCGCCGCCTGCCATTGGGCGGGAGGGCGGAGAGGCGGGGCGTAAGGAGGCGGACACGCCCCTAGCACCTCCTCTGTTCACACCCCCCTCCCCACGGCGCAGCAGCATCACGGCCGCTGGACGGGGCGGTCCACGCGTGAGCGGCCGCGGGCACACCGGGAGCCCGCGGTGCCGTCGGGGCCGCAGTGGGGTCCCCCCTGCTCCCCCGGGGCGTGTGACATTCATGCCCATCGGACACACCAATTTGATGCCTCCAAAAGCATTGAAAACCCCCTTTTTATTTTATTTTTGACAAAACCCCCTATTTTATTCACGCTTTTCTCTCCCTTCCCCCCCCCCATTTTTTTTTTCCCCTTTAAAAGCCCCCAAATAGGCTCCATGTGGTTCTGGGTAAAGTCAGCCCCTTGGCTTGGCTTTGAAATTGCTTCTGCAATTATGTAAAAGAGCCATTCAGCAACACGGCGGAATTAAAAGCGATGGAGGGCTGCTCCCTTTTCTCCGGCGAGCCTCTCATGTTGGCCGGCTCAAAGCCTTTTCCAACACGATGTCTTTGGAGAGGACAAAAGCTGGGACAAAAAAAAAGGGGGAGGTGGGGGGGGAAGGAAAAAAATAAAAGCCCCTAAACTTGTAAATTGAACGTCAAGGGAACTTTACACCATTTCAAAGGCCATAAATAATGATAAAGGGACCAGGCGAAGAGGCAAACCCAGGCAATTAATGGAGGTTCCCAAGCAAAGATCAAGTGGTTTGGAAAATAAAATTAAATGCAAAAAGAGAGAGGAGAAGGGGGGGGGGAGAAGAGGGGGTTTGGAGCTGGCTGGAGGTGGGATCCCTCCTGCCTTTGGGAAGTTGAAGCCTTCCCGGGACAATGGTGCTGACTGTGCCTCTGGGCTTAGTTTGGAAGGCTTTGGGGCACAAACCGCGACTCCAAGTGGTTTCTGGCTGAGGGGGGTATCCCCCTGAAGCAAGGGGCAGCGGCAGATCCTGCTCCTGCCTGGTTGGGAAGGTCCTAATGGCCCAGTGCTCGTTTCTGGTTAATTGATGCTCATGTTTTTCCAGAGTAGGATGGCAGATGTAAGGCTGGGGGGCTGCATATCCCATGAGGAAGGTGACACCTCCCAGCAGCTAAGGATAGGGACAGCCACACTCTGTCCCCCAAATCCCACCCTCCATGCCCCGCAAACCCCATGGGGCACATGGGGACAAGGCAAGGGGTGAGGGTGGTCCCTCCAGCATTGGCTGCATGGCCCAAGGAACACCCCCTTTCAAAGCAGCAGAGGCTTTACCCACCCAAAACGTGCCAGCTGGGTTTTGTCTCGGCGGGGGGGAGGTTTATCACAACCTCCCACCCAGCCCTCATCAAGTCCCATTTGCAGCCCCCCCCCCCCCCCGCTCCCCAAACCCATTCCCACCACTGAAGCCTGGTGGTGTCCCCAAAAAGGGGAACTGCCCCCCACCCCCCTACCCCTGGATATCTGGGTCAGTTTATCCATTTCCAGCCAACATCTGAAACCGTTCTTTTCTTGGCAGAAACGATTAGTGAGGGGGTTATTGCTTTTGGCCCTCGGTGCAGTTTCACCAGCCGGTCCTGCATCTGAGTCCCCGTTCCTGGCTTAACGCAGCTTTTGGGGGTACCAAACCCACTGGTCACCCAAGGACTGGATTTAGGGATTTTCCCCTCCCCAACACTGCGTTTCTGCTGGAGAAACGCTTTTTCCTGGCGATGTGGCAGAGACAGGGTTGGCGTCCACGGATGCAGCTGCTGCTGGGGATGTGTGTGCACACACACACTTTTGGGGCCCATCTCTGACTTCAAGGGACTGGGAAAAGTTTACTTATACAGCTCATTTCCATATGTCCCGGCTCCGTCTCGCGGAGGCCACCATATGTGCAGTGATGCAGTGCTCGGGATTTCTCCCAGCACTGCACTGGCAAGACTTCGCTCTCCCCTGTAGATGCTTCATAGCCACACGTGTGGTTGTTTCTATCTGATATTTATTCCCTTCCACCCCTTCCCTGTGATCCAGCAGCAGGCATCCTCCGATCACAGCTCCTCTTCTGCCTCCCACCATGGTGGATGGAGGCGAGCTAAACCCTCCAGCCCCCCAGATCAGCAGCATCCCCACTCCTTCCAAATCCAACCGGAGCAGGCTGGAAATCCTTGCCGAGAAGCAAAGCTTTCGTTTCAATAGAAAAGCGAGGAGGGGGAAACAAAAATCATCTCTTCAGGAAACTGCCTTTAGTTGCGGGAAGGGGAGATAATTAGGCATGGTAATGTGGCAGGGCATGGAAATGTGTACCAACACCCAGCTCCTGCAGCTGTTTTTATTGTCGGCCCTCTTCAAAATTTGCCCACAAACAAGTGCCTTTGCAAGACGGGAGCATTATTGCAGGCGAGAATGGGCTTTTTGTTCGGCACATAATTAGCTGATTTTTCTCCCGGAGAAAAACGTCGGCGATCTCCTGATTGTCGCGGCGTGATTGTGCCTGGGAAGTGTAACAGGCGGGAGGGAGGTGAAGGGCAAACAGGGGAGCCCCCCCTCGTGCCCCACGGAGGGACCCCTGCCGCGGCTGGGACATGGGAAGAGCCTTTCCCAGCAGGTCTAACTCTGATTATATGGTAGAAATCAGCACTTTGGAGGGTCATGCTTGGTTGGGAGGTGGGGGAAGTCCCCTGGCTGGGCCGCACATGGGTGCAGACCTGGTTCTGCATGGGCGCAGCTTGAAACATGGTACCAAATGCTGCTTGGGGAGGCTCATGCATCACCAAATAAGGGCTGCTGAAGAGCAGGTGGCTCCTGGCGGATTCCTCCCCAAAATAACCTTCCCAGAAAAGGAGCATCAGATACGTGAATTAGGCAGGTTTTGGTGGGGATGTGCTAGAGAGACTGTCCCCCAGATCCGTGTAGGGAGGGAGATACAGCTCTTTGAAGGGAAGAGAAACAGGGGAGCCAGGAAGCAAGAGAAAAACCTGGAGGTTCTTGAGCCAGGTGCAAGTCTATGGGGTGGCAGAGGTCAAGAGCATCCCTTTCACCTACCTGGGGGCTGATTGGCTGCTTCTGGCCCTTTGGGCACCTCCAGCCTGTTTGCAGGGAGCTGTGCTGTGGGTTTCCATGTGGGATACAGGGGCTCATATCCATCCTCCCACCGGGTATTTGGGGATGTACCACTTGGAGCAGGGTCCACTCTGCTGCTGGGCCATTGAGGAGGGGTTGGGAGATGAATGAGGTTTATTTTGTAAAGGATGATAAACCAAATGACTTTATCAGAGGCAAAACTCAGGTTTATGGAGATCCTGGCAAGCTCGTTCTTGGAAGACACTATGCCTTCGCATGGGGAACGTCACCAAAAGCATCTCGCCCCACTGTGCCTTTATGTTTTTAAAGTGACTTTTCTAGGGAGGGGGTATGTAAGAGGGGAGACTGTTAGCAAAACTACCCTTTCCCCCGCAATCAGTGTGGACTTAATGCTGCAGGGATTAGGTGTGAGCCCTGAACACTAAAATAAGGGGTGCAGCCGGGGCTCTCCATCCTCTACCTGTGTCACCCCTGCAGCGGGGAGGCTGTTCTGTGCGTGGCCGTGGGTTTATTTCAGTGTGTTGGGGCTTGCAGGAGCTGGGAATAAGCGGGATGGGGATTGGGGAAGGAAGATTTGGCCACTGGCAAAGGTTAAGCGCCGAGGGGTGCGAACCACAGCCCCGGGAAAGCCTCTGCCGCCTCCCCCTTCGGATTCCAAGCACGGAAAGAGAAAAACCAAAACAAACCGATCCCCCCCCCCCAGCCTCCATCATTGGTCGCTTAATCCCATTAACTGCTTCCCGTGTTCCCGTTTGAACTGGGAGCGCGGCCCCGCGGGGAGCTGGGACTGCCCCCCCCCCCGTCGCTCCTAAGGGGGGGATCTCTTCCCCGCACTGTTGATGTGCTACGCGGGTTTGTTGGTTTAATTCTTTTTCATCTGTTTTGTTGTATTTCCCCCTGTTTGTGGGGTTTGCCTCTTTCGTTTTTTTTGGGAACAAACTCGAAGGTTCTCGGGATTTTTGGGATGGGAAAAATAGGCTAAAAGGGTAAAAATAACGCCGTGCAGGTTAAAGAAAAGACATTTGGCTTTAGTAATCCCGACTCCTACCCCGAAATTCGTTCGGATGAGGGGAAAATGGGCGATTTTTCTATTTATATATTCACCCCCCCCCCTTTTAATTGATATGTACTTAAATAACCCGAGTCCAAATATTTTAAGAAGACCAAAGGAGACGCTGAACAAACCGCATCGCTGCGGAGAGATTCTCTCTAGCGGTGGAAAAGCCACACGCACTCCCAGGCACGGTTTTCCCGGGAAGATCGTGGAGAAATCCGGCAGTTTAAAAAAATCCCGACTAAAAGTCTCAAATATTCCCAGGTCAGAGGGGCACCGTCTCATTAAAACCAGCGCGGTCCTGAAACTGCACTGCAGACATTAAAGTGCAGTATTTTTCAATTAGAGCTGACGAATTCAATCAAAATTCCATAGATTAGGATGAAATGAGGCATGGGTCATTTACAGGGGAATTTAATTGCAGAGCCATTAGACAAATAGTATATTTGCCATTCTCACATTATCCATCATCTTAGACATCAATAGAAGGAACAGCATCTTTACTAATACAGCAGCACTTCCCAATCTCTGCCTGTAAACACTCCCTTTCCCCATAGCTCCTGATTATATCTGATTTCATTTAAAGCCATGGGGGATTATAAATGTTCCTGCAATCAGGTTCATTAGGACTACGAGAGGGGAGAAAAAAAAAAAGAAGGCGAAATCTCATTTCGGGTTGGGATTGCTTTGCGGATCACCCGCCTCAGCGCAGCCTGCGCGCTGCCTCGCTCTGCTTCGGAAAATAAAACCATCATAAAATCAAATGCGGTTTCATTACCGGGGACACCACTTCGGGGCTTGATTACCACCCTGATGAGCCCCTTTTGCAGCCGTTGAGAAGGTGGTGGGGAGCAAGCAATTCTCATAGGGATAACATCCCCCCCCCCTCCCCTTCAAAACAGCCCACTACTTCATCCCGCAGCCGCCCCGGGGGTTCCGGCTGCGGCTTCGGAGGGAGCCTGGGTCGGAAAACACCCGACTGGCTGGAAAAGCCTCTTTTTTTTGGGGGTGTGTGTGTGTGTGTATCCTTAGTTCTCCCCATCCCCGGCTGTTTAACCAGCAAACAGAGACGTGTGTGCATCAGGGCGGGTAATTCCTATTATTTGGAGCTTATTTTGCAGCCGCTGCCGGCCGGGACCATCGGTGGTTTTATTGCTGCAGGGTGGAATACCGAGACAGACCAGCCCCGCCACAAGGAAAAGGCGAGGAGCGAAGGTCTCTGACATTTTTTTCCTTAATAGCAGCTTAATATTAACCGCCTTTCATAAAACACGCGCATCCGGATAGACTTACAGAAGAAAAAAAAGCCCAGAAACCCCTTCATTTCACCCAAATGTATGGTGTGTTCGCTGCCTCAGTAATTTAATTGGAATGAAACGTGAAAAATGTGTCATTTTGGGGAAGAATTTATGCATCGCTTCCTGGAAATCTCATTGTCTTAACTAGCAGCCTACTGTGTTCTGTTTAGCAGGCATAATCGCATTTTTATGTGTCTCCGTATTATAAGTTAATGTGACCTCCCGTCTTTAGCTGCTGGAATAAAAAAGGAAAAAAGAATGGAAATGATCCATTCCCATAACATCTGCATCAAAACAAGGTGCCGGCAGGAGGAAAAAAACCCTGACATATACATATGTTCGTGTGTGTGTATATATATGTACACACATATGTATGTGTGTATATACCCACCCGCTCTTTTGCCCGCCTGCCAAACTTAGCAGCCCCAGTTGAACCGCGCGGCCACCGGCAGAATGGTTTAAACCGTGGTGGGGGAAAACCCCAAACCCATCAAATTTATTGATTTTTTACTTTTTTTCCTCCCTTTTCCCCCCTTTTTCCCCTTTTCCGATGTTCCCCCGGCTCCGTGCGGAGCCTCCGCAGCCCGCGGTACCGGCGGCTCCCGCCCCCGACGGCAGCGGCCGAGACCAGGGCGCCCCCTGCTGGCCTCGGGGCGCAGCGCAGGCAGCGGGTGGGTGGGTGGGGAGCAGCCCAGCTCGTCCGTGGTGTTTACCACTCCCCTTCCCTTCCCTTCCCTTCCCTTCCCTTCCCTTCCCTTCCCTTCCCTTCCCTTCCCTTCCCTTCCCTTCCCTTCCCTTCCCTTCCCTTCCCTTCCCTTCCCTTCCCTTCCCTTCCCTTCCCTTCCCTTCCCTTCCCTTCCCCTTCCCCTTCCCCTTCCCCTTCCCCTTCCCTTCCCCTTCCCCTTCCCCTTCCCGCTACTTTTCCATCCTTCCCTACACCCCTGCCACCCTTCTGCCCGCGGCAAGGAGTCTTTTCCTCCTCCCCCCCACCCCCGCCATCCCTACACCCCTTTGATGTCCATTTTTTCCCTCCATGGGTAGCTGCAGATGTAGAACTGAGGCCATGGATTTGGGGGGAGTATGGGATCGCCTGGTGGGACTCTATCTCCATGCAAGCTTGCCCAATACGGATGTAAAACATGTCATTCTTCTCTACTCGGGGGCTACACTAAAGATGAAAGGCTCATTAGAAGCACCAACATTTAGATTTGGCTGGTTCAGCCACACAATGACTCAGCCAGGACGTGTTCTCCCTTAATCCCTTTCAGTTCTACTCCCACTGAAACAAACCATGAAGTAAAGGAGCCACTGAAGTCATGAAGTGCCAGGTCTCAATGTGTCATGGGGCTTTGCTATGGGGCATTCCCGTGTGGGAGAGGCACCAAAGATGGGGAACACAGGGGAACTTGGCGGCATCTGTACACAACATAAAGAGTGAGGGAAGCTGCGGAAGCAGCAGGTGGAAGCTGGGAAGGAGGAGAATTTCCTTTCCCTCCCCATTTGGGCACTCCCTGCTCCATGAACACTGGCTCAGGGATGCTGCCAGCGTGCTGTGCATCGCCTGTATAACCCATCATAGCACTGGGTGCTGGTGCACAGCCCAAATGTGCAAAAAGGCTGATTTATTTATGTGTACTCCTATTTAAATAGCGAGTGTAATTAAGCCATGGAACAATTTGGCGGCAGAGCTGCTAGCACAAGGACAGCTGTTCTTCCGAGGGGCATGTGCACACACTTGCTTTGATTCAACAGGAATCAATTTGGGAAGCCTCAGGGTGTGAGAAAACAGATCTTTGCTCCTCCTGGTAGCTTTTGCCAAGTCACTATGTGAAATGAAAGCCCAAACTCTTCTGTTTTGGGAGCAGCGATAGGCACAATGGGTGTAGGAGGTGCTGGTGCATCCTTTGGACTGTGGGGAACTGGGAGAAATAGGGGGCTGCAGCACCCCCATCTCAGGTCCTGTGTGGAGTGACCAACTCTTCGTAGATTCTACCTTTAAAAAGTGGACTTTTTGGTCTATTTTACAGTCTATATTAGTGCCACTGGATACTGCATCCTGCTAACAGCTTCCATGCTGCACCTCTGCTCTCAGTTCTGCTTGTGTCACTCACAGGGGAGATTATCCAAGGGGATTTGATGCCTGCGTGGGCTGATTTTAGTCATCTGCCGCGGTGCTTGCCTTGGCACACCTGAGGAGCCCAGCTGCTTTGTAGAGAGCCTTTATAATGACTACCCTTCCTATCTGCAACATGCTTGTAACATCTACTAATCATTTTATTACTCTTTATAATCTATTTAAAGCACAATTAGGGGAAGAAAAAAAAATCTATACAAAGTTACAGCCAAAAGCACCTTTTAGTTACATTATAAATCCCTGAAAAACAACCATCTATCACGGGATGCGCTGCTCCTCCACCAGGATGACAGAAATGGATGCGGATGCGCTACACCAAGGGAGGGCTGGATGGTGGACCTCAGCCGGCTCCTCTCAGCCCTTCAAAGCACGACTCCTTCAGGCTCCAGCAGCAGGTAATCACGCAGCGGCTTGGGCACAGGCAGCAGAGGGATAAGGCAATGGCATTTGCTGCCAAACTTGTCCCGAATGGAGGAGCGGCACAAATGCTGCAGGCACCGGACTGTGCCCGCCAGCTGGAAAAGGGACTCGTAGAATAGCTGGTGCTGCTGCAAAGGGGGAGGAGGGAGAAACAGGAGCATCATTGGGTGGGTTTTGTTCCCAACTAAGCCAAATAAGCCAGAGATACTTTTGAGATGCGGATCTAAGGGGAGGAGGTAAGAAACCCATCGGTGATGTTAAAGAGCTGTTGAGCTGAGGTGGCTCCTGTGAGCAAGAGCTAGATGAGGAATGCTCCTGTGGAAGCACACATGGAGAAAGCCAGCCTTGCCACAAGAGCTGTTTGGGGAGGATGCTCTCAGCATCCCTGCAGAAAGCCTTAGAGCTGATGCAGAAGAGACCTGCTTGCTTCTAAGATGGGGAAACAAAGAAGCACTGCTCTGTGCAGCCTCAGCATTTTCCTTAGCTTGGAACAAACCCCCTTTCTCCCATCCCCTAGAACCTGCTGAAGAGCTTTATTTGCACTTCAGCAGCCATTCCCCCTTGCAGCTAGGGTCATCAAAGGCCTGTAGGGGCAAGGCAGCAGAGATCACTCAATAGCAGACTGGCCAGACCTGTTGCACACCTGGGGACAAGGTTTTAGAACCCAGAATATGTGGTGTGGGTGCCTGAGCAATGGTTCTGGATTGAGGGTCACTTCCAGATGCTGGGACTGTATCTTATTGCAGGGCAGGCGGGTTTGGTATTGATGGAGCTAAAGAAGGTCCTATGATGACTCAGGTGTGTGGTAGTGCTCTGAGGACTATCCCTTTTCTTTTCTTCCCCACCCAAGTGAAGTCTGGGTGGGGAAAACACCTCTTGGTAGGTAACCCTCCCCCTCAGGGCTCTGCTGTCCCTGCCAAGCCCCCGTCTCTACCTCACCTGAAGCACCTCCTCCGGCACGGCCTCAGCCCACTTCCTGGAGATGGAAATTTGTGAGTAGGAATTGAAGAGGACTTCGACGACCTCCGGCACGGCTGCGCAGGACTTCAGCACCTAGTCATGGGCAATGGGAGGGGGTCAGGCACAGATGCCTGCCCCAGGGGGGGACAGGGTCCCTGCGCTGCAGCCAGGGCTTGTCCCACGCCACCGTGGTCCAGGCTGGGATATCAGGCATGTGTAGGTTTTGTCCTGGCATGCTTTTGAGATCATTCTCCATGTGTGAAGCAGTGGGAAGATCTGCCTTGCTGTGGCACTTATTCCTCTGGATGTGGCCCTTGCTCCTTATTTACATTTTTGGCTTGATAAGCCAGGATAATATTTTCTTTACTGATGTAAAACCAATGAATCACAGAGCCATATGGCGGCTGCACTGACGGCTGATGCACCAAGCCTATCTCTGACATTCCCAGGCAGGAAAACTCCTCCTTGCTGGTCCCCCACAGCCATGCTGCCTCCCACCTGCCTTTGCCCTGCCTACATTTCCCTGCTGCCACACCATACAGTTGTTGCCTTTTCCATCATTCCCAGCAGTACGGCCAACCCAGTGCCATGGTCCCATCTCCCTGCCTGGACCTAGAGGCTTTCCCAAGTTCTCTCTCCCTTCCCAAAGCCCCCATCACCACCTGCAACCTCCCCATTGTGAGTGGCCATAGGGGGCTGGTTTTGGAGGTACCTTGGCAAAGGCGGGGGGCCATATCTTCTGGGAGCCGTGGTTAAGCAGCAGTTGGACGACAACATGGGGCCGCAGGTCCCGTTTGAAGGCAGCACCCTGCAGCACACAGCCCAGCGGGGACATGCCATTGTAGTCAATGGCATTGACATCAGCCCCGTGCTGCAGGAGGAAACGTGCCAGGCCGGCGTTGGCAGCCCCACAAGCCTTGTGCAAGGGGCTCCTGCGTGCCTCATCCCGGGCATCCACATTGGCACCGTGGGCAGCCAGGAGCCGGCAGAGCTGCAGGCATCCCTCGGCGCCCGGTGCCTGCCCACAGAGGATGCTGAGCGCTGTCTCCTCCTGCATGCTGAGTGCGTCCACGTGTGCCCCGTGGCGCAGGTAGAGCCAGGCATGGTCGCAGAGGCAGTGCCTGGCCGCCACATGCAGAGCTGTCTCCCCCCTGTCCTCACTCGGCAGGTTGACGGTGGCTCCGTGTCTCAGGAGGAGCTTGGCACATCTGCAAAGAGGTGAGGAGATGGGGCGTGCACTGCGGAGATGGAGCAGGGATAACAGGGTGGGAGGCAGTGGGGGGGAGAATGGGGGTCATGCTGGAGCTGGGCTCCCAAAGGGATTGTGGTAGGGATATGGGGAGAGAGCAGCAGAGGCTGGGAAGGGTGACCCTGTGCCCTGGCGCCCACCACAATGTAGGTGATGATGGTTTGGGCAACTCTGCCTCTTACCCTTGACCAGCATCATTCACAGAACCATAGAAGGGCTTGGGTTGGAAAGGACCTCAAAGTTCACCCAGTTCCAACCCCTGCCACGGGCAGGGACACCTTTCACCAGAGCAGGTTGCTCCAAGCCCCTGTGTCCAACCTGGCCTTGAACACTGCCAGGGATGGGGCAGCCACAGCTTCTCTGGGCACCCTGTGCCAGCGCCTCAGCACCCTCACAGGGAAGAGCTTCTGCCTAAGAGCTCATCTCAGTCTCCCCTGTTCTGGCAGGTTAAAGCCATTCCCCTTGTCCTGTCCCTACAGGCCCTTGTGCAAAGCCCCTCTCCAGGTTTCCTGTTAGCCCCTTTAGTCACTGGAGCTGCTCTGAGGTCTCCCCTTAAGGAGCCTTCTCTTCTCCAGGCTGAACCAGCCCAGCTCTCTCAGCCTGGCTCCAGAGCAGAGCTGCTTCAGCCCTCACAGCATCTCCATGGCCTCCTCGGGCCTCGCTCCAACAGCTCCACTTCCCTCTTGTGCTGTTGCCCCAGATGGACCAGGACTGTGGTGGAGGGGGGGCATCTCTGACCACCTTGACCCAGTAGGGTCCTACCAGTGAGCAATGATGCCTGACCCAGCTGTGCCAGTGGTTGGGCAGTGCTTGAGCACGACTAAGCCATGCTAGCTGGGTCTGTCCTGGCCGGTGTGGGGTGTGGGATGTATCCAGCCATGATGAGGAGACATGGGGTGATGGGCTCCTTTGCACCATTAACCTGTTGGGTGCTGTTTCATGTCCCTGCATGGGTACAGCCCTGGGGTGTTACGGAGATGATCTACACAATCCCACCATGTGGCTGCCATCCACCATGTTTCTCAGCTGAAAACATCCTAAACCACTGCCTCCACCTTAATAATCTGTGCTTGGAACAGAACTGAACCCTTTGTAACCCCTCTGTGCAGCAGAAGAGCTCAGTGTGGGGTTGTTTGTGTATAAAAATGGATTACTCTTCTCTTGTTAAGGCACCCAAACTCCTGTGTTGGGCTCCTACCCCATAGAGGACTTAAGGATTGTGTTTTCTGACTGTTCTGACAAGGAACACCTTCACAGGTGGTTTAAGGCTGTGGTAATGAGTTTTGCTGGCTTGTCTGCACCCAGTAACAATGGAGTTGCAGCACCTGCAGTCTCCATAAGCTGTAAATCAAGGTAAGGAAACCAAATCCCCATTTGCTGCTCCCATTTCTTCTTCTCTCTAACGTTACCATGTGTGGTTGCAAAGAGGGGTTGTGCCTGCTGCAGAGTGGCAACACTGGTTCCCATTAGAGTTTCCTGCCTGCATCCTTCTGACAATGGACGGGGTTAAAGATGCCTGGTATGTCCCGATGGGTTGGGGTTTCTTGTGTGTGTGTGAGTAAATGGATGTGATCCGCCAGTCTAAATGAATCAGAGTGAGTGCTCCATCTCCTGCCGGGAGCTACCGGGGCTGGCACAGCTCAATGTCACTGCCTAGGTTAGTGTATGGGGCTGAGCTCACCGCTGCAGCATGGAGGAGGTATTGTTTGGAGTCAGGGGGCAGACCCACATGCTGTCCAAGGGAGACCTTGAAAACATGGCAAGCTTGTGTTTCCCAAGGAATGCTGCTAGGGAGGTGGGAAGAGCAGACCTTCAGGAAGCCTCAGCAGTGGCTGTCTGAGGAGCAGGGAGGAGGATCAACGTTGAGCCCCATGCCTGTTGACCTTTCCTCCAATACACTTTCAGCTCAGGTGTCAGAGCATAGGTGAGGTTCTGAGCCGATAGAGAATCAAAATGAGGGGGAACTGCTGGGGAGCAGAGTCCCAGCCTGATCCCTCCAGCAGGAGGGATGGGAAGGAAGAGGAGCCCCAGGGAGGAAGGATAGTGCCAGGGTATTGCTTGTTTTTCCTGGCCCAGATGAAAGCTGACATATGTGGGGAAAATAATAACATTATTATTAGTAGTATTATTAATAATACTATCTACTTGAAATTTTCTGGACCTGCAGCACCATTCCCCTAAGGTTTGACAGGAGCTGGTGAGACATTCACTGTCCTTGGTGGTGTGGGATTTGCAAATACCTCCTTGGGCTGTTTTTCCCATGTGTATCAAGCCTGAATTTACCAGGAAAAACATCTCCTGCAGGATGTGTGGGGAGAGACTGTTTTCTGTGGCCTTTGCAGGTGCATTACTCCCAGGTGCTGACAGCCCACGGTGGATCTCACCACTGTGCTGTGGACTGAATGTGGGGTTGTGCCAGCCCCCAGATCCTCAGATCCTTACTTTACAATTCCCTTTTTATCCTAAATCATGTTCAGTCCCTTTCTCAAGCAATGGCTTTCTCACTGAGGCCTTTTCGGTACTTGCTGGATGCTGCTGGTTGGTAAAACTTTGTTGGCAAGGAGGCAGCTCTGCCAAAGACCCTGAGCACAGGTACCACATTGATTTTGGCATGTGTTGTGTATGCAGAGTGCCCAGGCTGAAGAGTTACATCTGCATAGGCAAGGCAGAGGGAATATTGGAATATTCCCTGGAATATTCCCCTGCCCTTTATTTCAGGTAAAGGTTGGCATGTCATGGGTTGCCTGGAAAAGCTAAGAGCTGTGCCTAGCCCCTCCAGCCAAGCATCCTCACACCGCCATGGGGTTTTCCGTTATAGAGAGTGGAATGTTGGACATCTCAAATATCCTTTCAGAGATACCAAAGTGGAAATGCCATCCTTCCCAGATGCTGTCTTGCTGAAGGGTTATTCTTTCTGGTTATCAAGTTCAATGGCTAACTTGTTGGAAGAAACCCAAGTCAGCTGATACTGAATTATCCCCCTGGATACTCTTCCCTCTGCAAAAAGGGAATGTTAGTAAGGGGCTATAAATATGTGGTGATGTCCTCTAGTTAATACAAATGGGAGGCCCCTGTATGGAGCATGTGCCTTCTGTTCGGATGTATAGGGCATCAGCAGGTGCTGGGTAGATGCCATTCATGGTTGTTGGCAATATGCTCTTATTTTAGCCTCTAATATCTGTTTATGCATTCATATGGTTAACACATCACCAGTGATTCTGGCTTCTTGTTTATTTACTGTTAACACCCCATTATTCACTATCAGCTTAGACTCAAATCCCAGCAGATAAGGCCCAGCAATTGTTTGTGGCTTCTTTGAGGGCTTCTCTCCAGTTTTCTGGGAATACAGTAAGAAGCCACAGGTTTAGCGTAGCAGAAACTCAGGCACAGGGTGGCAAAGCAAACCAGTTTGTTTTCCATCCATCTGGGTACCATCAACCTGGTGGCAGCAATACCTTCAATGAGCCACTCACACAGAGCTAATTCTGACTTGTTTGAAGTCCCTTCTAAACCCTTCTAACTCATTTGCAGGTGATGGGTAACACACCTGAATGTCTCCCTTGCTTGGGCAAGTCACTCATTAGCTTAAAGTCACACTGATTTGTGTTGTTAGTAACTGGTGTTAGTAGTACAGGTTTGCCTTGTGCTGGGGTCCTAGCTCAAATAAATGGGATAAAATGTTTTGGGGTTTATCTTCCTTCCTCACTCCTCAATAGAGTCAGAGCAGACATCAGTGCAGTGTTGGGTAGGATGTGTCCATTGCCATCCCCTGCTCTGAGATGGGCATGTCCTGCCTGATGTTGATGGGTCAAGGGTCCCAGCATCCTGCTCCATTTGGGATGAAAAATGCTCTGTCTGGGAAAGCAGGATTTAACTTGAAATGGGCTGTGATGAATAACCAGCAGGAGGAGCAGGAGGTTGGGGCAGCGAAGGCTGGAGGAGAATTCCTGTCCCCAAAACCTGCTCAGGCCCCCAGTATTCCTATGGAAAAATCCCCTGTTCATTTCCCCCCCCCCCCTTCCCTGGAGCTGGAGTGAGGCTTTCCCATCCTTCGCTTGGTTGTTTTTCATGGTATTCAAGTGACCATCTCTTCTTTCTGTGATTTATTGCAGGATTGATCCCACTTGGGGGAAAACCCCAGCCTTCTCCAATGCAGTGATTATTCTTATTAATTCCCTACAAGAAGGAAGCCTGGTTTTCTTTAAAAGATGAAATGTGGAGCACTGCAAGCCTACTGGTGAGCCCCAGCAATGCTGTGCCAGTGTGGGGGACCAGGAGCACTACTCCCTGCATTACTGCCTCCTTGCCAAAACTTCGTGAGCCGTGGAAACTCATTTGTATGAGCCCTCATTTTGTCACACCAACATAGGGAGCAGCTTCTTCAAAAAGCAGGGTCAGGCCTTGGGTAGTGCTTTGTGTCCCCTTTTGGGCACTTTTTTTCTTGTTCAAGATCCAGTGCTGTTCAAGATCAGCAGTGCTGATCAGAGCAGAGGATGAAGTTTAGCACTAGATGATGCTAAATGCTGTCTTTTGCAATCTGTGATCTCTTCTCATTTGTAGTAACACTTATTTCCCATAGCCAAAAGGGCAGTGTGTCCAGACCGGTGCTGGAGTAGCTGGAAAGTGCCCATGGGTTGGGTCCACCAATGGCAGGTCAGTGCCCATCTCTCTGGCATTTGGGAGCCCATCTATATTGATCACGTTGCCTTTTTAGGTACCTGCCTTCCTGCTTGGCTCCTGTTTTCCTGTTAATTCCTCCCATGGTGTGCTATCCTCATCTAACATTCCCTAAGCAAAACCTGCCCTGTGTTCCCATGCTGGCAGTCTTGCGTTCACTCCCTACCCTATTGCTTCTTGCATGGACACCGACTCTCCTCCTGCCCCATCCCTGGCAGTGTTCAAGGCCAGGTTGGACACGGGGGCTTGGAGCAAGCTGCTCTAGTGGAAGGTGTCCCTGCCCGTGGCAGGAGTTGGAACTGGGTGAGCTTTAAGGTCCCTTCCAACACAAACCAGGCTGTGATTCTATGACTCATCCCACCATTTATTTCCCATCCCTGAGAGCTGGAGGCTCAGGGCCAGCGGATAACTGTAGTTTCAGCTCCCGGAGTGAAGAGACACCTTGAAGAACCGTTTGCAAGGGCATGACTCGCCCACAAGCCCAAATTGCACAGATGTAGGGATGACATCTTTTCTCCTTCCTTGCCTTGACTAAGCTCTCTTTCCCCTGTGGAAGGCTGGAGAATCCTGGGGGGTTTCTCTTCAGGTAGGCTCTCCCTTGCTGCATGCGAAACCTGGGATCTTCAGAGAGCTTTTTCCCACTCGGAAAGATCTGAAGGAGGACTCCACAAATGCAGTAGCTGGCATTCACCATCCCTTGTGCTGTGGGTACCGTGATGGGAGGTGGGAGCTACATCCTGCGTCCCTGCGATGTGCCTTCCCACCGCCCCATGCCTGCTCTTCCCCCCAGCACCGCCGGGAGAGCTGAGACTCTTCCTCTCCCCCTCAATTATTTTTGTGTTATTTTTTTTGGGGTGCCAATAAAGGCAGACTCCTTTAATCATCCCAGCTTTAAGAGGGAAACGGGAGAGCACCAGGGAGAGAGTGCAGTGAATTTAGAGACTCATCTTACCCCACCATGTTAATTATCTCCGCTGTAAAAAAGAGGTCAAGGAGAGGAACTCTACTAAATAGGCCGACGTTGGCATGAACAGCTCCTAAAGTGAAGAAGGTAAGACTGAACTTTACTGGAACTTTTTTTTTCCCATCTCTTCAAAAAGCTCCTAGATTAAAGCTCTGATATCCTTTTTGTTGAAATCTCATGGATTCTGAAGCTCAAATGGCTGGAAGGAAGCCCAGATAATTTTTTTTTATCCCAGTCACTGAGAGGCTCAAAGGTTTTAAGTCCTGCCCCCATGGTGAATTGCCGAGTATATGGGAATACAGACGAACCCGGCACATAGGTGTTCTGGCCATTGTTATCGAGAGGGAGAAAAATAAAATAGCTCTCTATGTAGGTCAATGACCTGCTCTTTATTGTCAGGAGAAAATTAAGGATGACCTAAAATCTACTCCTCAATAAAAAAAAAATATATAAAAAAATAGTGAAAAAAGGCAAGGTAAAGTAGTCTCCCCCTAATCAAAGAGGAAATGTTTGTGTTACCCAAAGCTTGACCTCCTCAGTCTCTAACTTTAGCAAAGTCTTTGCAATTGAAAAGCAGTGGTCGAAACCTCAAACCCTGTCTGAAATGTCTATTAATTTTTGATCTTTCAAGGGAGTTGCCTCAGTTATTGTAGAAGCCCCCGTAGCGCCGGGTAGCATAGTTAAGGGTCTTTTAGCATTTCCATTATAAAGCCCCAATATTCAAGGGCTTGTAACTCATCTGTTTCCATGTTGCATGTGTCTGATCGCTGTTCCCTGGCTCACCTGCCATCCCCCTCCATCCTTCTGGGGGAAATAACATGTAAATCAATGACAATGGCCCATTTTTAGTGTGTGTATATACATATATATATATACACACACACACACGCACACACACATACATATATATGTGTATGTATACACACTTTTCCAAGCTGGATAGTACCTGGCTGAAAACAGGACTGTGGGGTCTTCTCCATGCACCAGGTTGGTTTCTGTGCCCCAACTCTACTGGGGAGAGCAGGTTGGTGAAGGCTAAAATTCCCTCCCTCTCCTCCCCCAGGGCTTTTAGGGTGGCTTTGGGTTTGAAGCCTGAAAGCTTTAAGGTCAAGAGGGAGTTTGGGTAAAGGAATTAAAACCAGCTCCTTGTTAGTGATGAGTGCTGCTTGTAGCATCCTCCCTTACCCATCCCGCTCCTTCAAACCCTCTTCACACCAAGGATGCTTTTGATTAATCCCTAGATATTTGGCTGAACCAGAATTTGATTAATGCTTGGGTTTTGGCCATCTTACAGAGACTCTTAGTTGTGAACTGGGCTCAAGGTATTTACATCTAAAAACCTTTTCCTCTCTGGCTGCTTTTCTTTTGCAGAGCAATTTGCCTCGCCCATGGTACATGGGATCCATAGTGGGAACCTTGCCTTCGCCACCTCCTTGTAGTTAAGCTATACAAATCCAAGTTCCTTGGGCACTTAAAGTCTTACTGAGACATATATGCAAAGCTTAGTTTTCCAGGCAATGGTTATGTTCATCTCTGTGTGATGCTGATCCAGGGTGAGAAGGGAGCAGATGCACGTGGCCAAGCCTTAACCCCAGCTATAAACCAAGGTGGATCCCTCTGTAACCCATTCCGCAGACCCCATCCCTTTGCTATGGCCCTAGGGATCAGATTTTAGGAGGAGAGTGGGCACCCTGTTTGGCACCACATGCCTTGTGGATGGGGTTGGCATGGGCTGAGGAGCACAGGAGGTTAGGGTGACCTACGTGCCTGTGCCTGTACCCATCCTGAGCATCTCCCAGAGGAAAGTGTGTTGGACCAGGGATGCAGGACACAGTGATTTTAGGATAAACCATCAGAAGAGAGAAGGAAGCAAAAGCATATGGAGCCAAGCTGGGCTGCTCCTGTCCGTGGCAAGAAGACCTGGGCCATGCAATGCTCCCAGCACTGAAATGCCCCCTTTTTATGTGCACTGAGCGTGCTTCAGCAGCAGCTGCTGCAACCAGGAGGTGCAGGGGCGCACAGGAACCCTGCCAGGGACCACAACATCTGGTTTTGCACCCCACAGAGGCAAAACCCCGAGGTGCCCTTGCAGGGGATGCGAGATTATCAGCTTGAGGGGGGGGGGGGGATGCTGAGGGCGCTCCTCTCCTTACCCCAGCGAGTCCCGCGTGGTGCAGAGGTGCAGCGGGGCCAGCCCCTGGTCGCTCCGCAGGTTGGGGTCAGCCCTGTGCTGCAGCAGCAGCGCGGCGCACTCCGTGTGAGCCCCGAGACAGGCTTCGTGCAGGGGCCCGCGCCCGCCCGGCGCCAGGTCGGGGTCTGCCCGACGGCGGAGGAGGTAGCGCAGGACGGCGGCGTGGCCGCGGCGGGCGGCGAGGCACAGCGGGGTGCTCAGCTCCCGCTTGTACTCCAGCGACCACAGCCCTGCGGGGACAAGCGAGCGAGGACGGGTGAGCCGCGGGGCTCCCTCCCGGGCACCGGGCCTGGGGATGCACAGCACCAGTACCCCGCTGCTTCCGTGGGCTCCTCCAGCTCCCTCGGTGTTACAAAGAGCCTGGTGGCTGCTCCAAGAGCTGCTGGCAAGAGAGGAAGGGGAATTCCCCCCCTGGTGCCTGCGCATCCAGGAGCAGGATTTCAAACAGCACGAGGTGGGTAAACCAATATCCTGCCCGTAATCGGTTGGGTAGGGGATCCTGCGTGCAAGACCCTGTTGCAGGAGCTGAAAGGCAGCTCGGAAATACCCCATCGGCACCAGGTGAGGGAAAAAAAACCCTGTCTTTGCTGGGACTGGGCTGGGCGTGAGGGCACCCGAATTGGTGGGAGCATGCAGGGCTGGGAAAGGGATGTTGGTTTTGGGTTTAGCTGGAGCAAGGTGCATTTCCCATCGCCTCCAGGACCATCAGTTGATGCACAGTGCTCGGTGAGCACCTGGTGACCATGGAGAGCATCTGGGGTTGAGCGGCACCAGGTACCACTAACCTGGGAGCATCTTACTCCTTCCAGATAGGACCAGGCTGCTCTTTCTGAGCCTCTGCGCAGAGAATCTGGGCTGTGAGCCCTCTTGCAAGGCATGCCTAAGCCACGCAGTGCCCCAACACAGCCTGAATGGGATCCTGTGTACACACACGTTTTACACCTCCCTGCCCTTCTGGTGGGTTAGTATGTGCAGAAGAGATATACAGTAGTGAAAGGAAGTGCTGGATATTTATGGGTAGGGCTGCAGGGCAGAGTCAGCTAACAGGAGCCAGCCACCTCAGGAGCAGGTGCTATAAAAGCAGAGTTAAGCACTGCAGTGCACTGCAACTCTTCCACTTAGGGTTAGTAAATACCTAGCTTTATTTAATGTTTCTGGCCTTTAAGGGAGAAGTACCTGAGAGTCCATAAGACGCTTGGCTTTTCACCTGCCACTCCAGCTCATCTTTACTGATCTCAAAAACCAGGTTCACATCTTGATAGTACCGGTCGGTCAGCACCTCGAGGCTTTGCAGGTCTCCCGTGACCAGGGCTGTGTAATACTTGGTGGCAGGAGCGTGAGCTGTTAGAGGATGCTCCAAATCCAATTTGGGGGAAATCTGTAGCTTTTCTGTTACAGGTCCTGGTAACTCGCCCATTCTGGTGCTTCCCGTGTGTGTAGGTCCTAGCTGGGAGGGTAGATGGGCTTTTATAGTTCATTGTTCCCATCCTCCTGGGCTCATTGTCTAATTATAATCCAGTTAGGTCTCTACTGTTGTTGTATTTATAACTCCACCGGGGTCAGATGATAATGGGTATGTGATACAATGAGGGTCAGACGGTCACTGGGCTGTGTTGTGGCAGTACCTCTTGGATTAAATCACCGGTGTAATTGCAGGCAGCAGCATGGGACATGGGTGTTTAGGCTGGGGGAAAAAAGGTGCTATTTAGGGGGTAAAAAACAACAGAAAAGAAGAACTTTAGTCAGCTCCTGTGTGCCCAATGCCATATAACCTTACTGTGTGCTCTGAGCTAAAAAACTGGGGGGGCTTTCTCCACCTAACACTATATTTTTTTTTTCTCTGAGGCAGTTTTGCCTGTTTCCAGCCTCATGGCTACTATAATTAAAAATCAGAGCTTTACATTAGTGGCCAACACCACACACCGGTGCATCCCTGCAGGGATGCAAAACACTTGGCAAGGCCAGCGAGGTACAAATCCCTCTGGGGCTTTGGCAGGGGGAGCCGTTTTCCCTGCTCATGCCTTGTATAGGAGAGAGAAAGACTCTGCTGCCATTTAAGCACAGGGATGGATGCCAGCAGAGCGTCCCCAACTCCTGCTGCCCTGAGGCTCGTGGCTCCTTTCCTCAGGGTCACGGGAGAAGTGCACGGTGGGGACGAGAATAGACCTTGGCATCTCGTGACTTGGAGGCTGTGAGTGACACGATACCCCCTTTAGCTCTTACATCCCCCTACCCGGAGAATAAACATCATCAAAGAGGATCCTGGGAGGATGTTAAACTGCATCAAAGCAGAACGGACGTGGAGGTGCTGCTCAAGTGCTTTGTGGAGTCAACCTGAGGCTGGAAGAGATGTCTGGGACCTTCTCCGTAGCTCCCTGTGAACAGGGACCTTGCTGGGCTCCTGCAGGCCACTGTGAGCATCCTTGTGCCAGCCCTGCAAGAGTCATCTGAGGTTTCTCTTTGAGTTTCTCCAGCATGGCTTTGGTGGCATTCAACCACTGGCCTGAAGACCATGGGAAGGGCATGGAACCACAATAAAATCACAGTGCGCCCACTCAGGATGGGGTTGTGCTGAGCCAGAGGGGTCTGGTTTGACAGCCCTATGTAAAAGAGCCCTGCTTTGAGGTTCTTGTTCACCGGCATTTGCAGAGGGAGCTAATTTGAGGTCAGCCTAGGTGGTTTTCTTTCTCTGCTTTGAACTCAAGGCTGGCCTTGCCTCCTCGATTGGTTTGTAACCTCCAAATCCCCTTGTCTTTCTCTCTTCTTTCACCACGTGTTGCTATTCAGCTGCCTCCAGCCTCTCTGTGCCTGTTCACCCTTATGCTGTAAACCGAACCACCTCCTCAAAGCACTGCTCTGGTATGAAAACCATCCTCGTTATCCCCTGGGATCCCTTAGCCAGCACAGGAGATGGTTTAGAGACCTATGGAGCAGCATGGATGAAGGTTGTTTTCCCCAGGAACTTGTCCTGGGTCATCTTTCTGCAGCCCTGGCTCGCTTTCCCTCTCTGCTCATTAGCAATCCTGTAATGTCTCCACAAGAAGCATGCCTTCATGTGGGAATCACCTTCCCACGGCATGGACCACCTCCTGCTCTGCAGCCAGGGAGTCTAGCAGGGAGTCTAGACCTGCTTGGTCAGACATGGGCTAATTCTGTTAGGGTTGAGTGCATGTATGTGTGCCTGGCATTAAGCTGCTGTTGAGAGTGTGTTGAAATACCCCGTGACCCCTTCTCGTGAGCCTTTTAATCAGTGTTGATTTGCATGTAACACTCACTCCTTGGGTCACGGTAATGACAGGATTAACAGCATCACTGAAAGAGGGGGTTAAAAATAGCCAGGGCCAGCAAGAGCAGAAAGAAATCGTCCTCTTGCAGATGAGTGGCACATATAAATGCAGGAGCCTGAGCTCCTGCCAGCCAAGTCAAGTGCTTTTTCCACTGGTGAGTGGGAAGTGATGTCAGGATGAATCGCTGTTTCTGTGTTTATAAGGGGAATGCTGCTGTACAGGCAGTGATTTACTGCAGCGAGGAGCTGGCAGACAGGACACCTGCAGAGCATCCTGGGGCTGGCCAGAATGGGACTGGTTGGGTTTTGAAGGGTAAACTGAGGGGGCTTCAACTGGTTATAAGCTACTTGTCACCTTAAAGGCAGTGATTTTGGGTGGTGGAGTAAGGCTGGGACCCAGCAGCCCTAACCCCCTCCTCTGCCAGTCCTGTGCTGCATTGCCTTGGGCACATCTCCCAGCATTCCAGTCCTCATTCCTCGGGATCCTAAGGTCCTGATCCTGCAACTGGTTATGCCTGGGATCATCCTTGTGTGTCCTTGCCTCAGTAAGAGCTGTTCCTACACAGACTCGGGTCCCAAACATTGGCGAGGGTGAGCACTTCATTAGCAGTAGCCTTGCACCCATTAATCTCTAACGTGGGGGGAACATCTTAACCTTCTCCCTGCATATGGCTGTTTGCAGAGTACACCTCATTTAACAAAACATTAAGCATTTTACTTCCTCAGATCAAGTGTATCTATTAATAATGACTTAAATTGTCTGTGCTGGCTTCGCATTACGAGGAAAACTCATTCCTGGCACATGAAAGAGCACGATACACAGAAGCAAAATTACTTCAGCGCGAGCTTGCTCCCCAAGTTCAGCTGCCACATAACAACTTAGTGCTCACACTGGGGAGATTCCAGCCTGTAATAACCTGCCCTGCTGCTTAAAAACAGCCCCATGGAGCTGCCTTAGCAAATCCGGTGAGTCCAGATGTGCTGGTGAGGAGCTCCTGGGATGGCCGCTGTGATTTACAGCTGCCCTCTGGCAGCAGGGAATGGCATAATTTTAACGTTTCCATGCTTTCCAGGGGCATCTCCAGCAGGGTGAAGGAGCCCAGCGGCTGGCAGGCAGTGGCACTGCCTCCTCCAGCTGCTCACAGGTTGCAATGTGTGGCTGACCTAGAGCTTGCACCTCCTTTCACCCCTCACAATGAGCTGGATGCTGTGCCCACAGGGGGGGACCCAGAGCGGGACAGGCAGGATGGCGATGCCACCAACCACTGTCCAAGCTTACCTTGGATGGTGAGAGCAGCTCTCCAGGGCGATGCTTGCTCTTCCCCTTGGGTACCAGTGTGGGGTGGGAGGCTTGGGATCTCCTCTCTTGGAGCTAGGTACCACCCTGCAAACAAGCGCCCTGCTGCCAAAACGTCCCCACGCTTATATTCCCAGCACTCCCCCTGCTCCATGTGACAGCGCTGCCCAGTTATGTGTCTGCTGAGACGCAGGATTAATGCCACCAAGACAAAACATCTGTGCAGGGGTGTGTGTGTGTGTGTGTGTGTGTCTTATTCCAAAGCTGCTGCCCAGGGAAGTACAAACCCGTCCCGAGGTGCATTGATTTTGCCCAGATTTTATTGGCAATTAGATAATATTTAAACAGTGCTGAAACATTTTCCTTTAACAGCTTCATATAACACAGGAAGATGCTGTGTAGTGCTGGTTTGTAGCAGCCCTTTGTTGTAATTTAATTCAATTAAAAACAAAACACCCTTTCCAGTTCTTACAACCAGGCTTTTCTCTCCCCACCCCTGCCTTTTCCCATCAGTTACAGGAGTCAAACCCCTATAGCTCCTAGCTTAACTAAAAATACAAGGCTTCCTCTCTCCCCCCTCCCCGCTGGAGAATTGCAGCTGTGTGAGTTATCCCCTGGGAATCCAGGCCTGGAGCGCATCCCCTTTGAAAGGCGAGGAAGAGCCCGTCCAATTATTTAACCCCTCAGTAATGCGCTCATGGGATGTCTCCCTGTTGCCAGCCTGGAAACCATCTCGGGCTGGGCTCCATCACGTGCCCCTTGACAGGAGGAGGCTGGGTGATGGTGTTTGCTCTTTATCAGCTCACCCTTCGTCTGCAGCAGCAAGGAGATGGGTTATTTTTAGCAGATACTCCTGAGGTTATGCTCTGGGGGGCTGTAAAGGCTGCGGGTCTTTGGTTTCATTTCTCCCTTCCTTATCCTACAGTGCTGGTAGAGCCCCCTTGGCAAAGGCAGGTGCTGGGCTGCAGTGCCTATGCTTCTCCGGGTTGCAAAATGCTCTTGGCGAGAGACACAAGTGGGTACAGACCTGAAGCTCTCAGTAGTAGTGGGTAGTGAGGGGTCGAGGGTGGTGTTTGCTTTTAAGGGTTGCCTGAACTCACCCAAGGGGGTTTAAACCCCTTCACATGAGCAGTACAAGGGCTGGTGTCCCCCTGTGCCAAAGCCATGGTGCTGGATTTGCTATGTAATGTCTCTTTTTCTACTGCCCATCTCGAACTTTGATACCCTAAGATGGCCAGCTTCAATGTAAGCACCTATAGGAGGAGGAGAGAGGCTGTGATTGCAGGGGAGGAAAGGGAAGGAGGAAATTGGAAGGGATTAGGGTCCATAATGTAGGACCATCTCCTGGGATGGGAGACGCCAGGGCTATGATGTGCCATGAGCCAATACCACCTCTTGCAGGCTGGCTACCTATAAAGGCGAGGATCCAGCATTAGGTATCTCGGGACTCCAGCACCAGCCCTTTTGCTACCCATGAGAACTGAAGCAAATTCACCCTGTTCCTTAGCTGGGTCTCCACCAGAAGCATCACTGACATTCAACAGGCTTTGCTTTACCAGAATGCTACAAGAGGTAGAAACAGAGGAGCTGAATGGCACCATGAGCTTAAATACAAGCCCTTTGCTTAGTTTCATACCCATGCTGTTTTGCTCCTGAGCAAGGTTAGCTTTTGACACCTGAAGGAGTATCAGAGTTGTGGAAGGAAGGTATTTGTGCATCGGAAAATGTGCTTCCCAAGTGCACCCTAACTAGAAAGTTATGGAGATAATTGCTTGCCCTCTGGGACAGAGAAGAACAAACTCAACCATCCCTCATTGGCTGCATCCATTTCTGGGGCACTGATTTATTCCTTACTACTAGGCACATCTGAACCTCTCTTGTCAGTGTTAATTAGTGGGGACTCGGCCCGATTCATTACAGCTGTGACCTCTCCTTGGTGCAGCTGCACTTTAACGAGAGAGCCATCTGGTTTGCCTGCTTCAT